GCTCCAAAATCTGAAACTTTTTCAGTGCCAACGTGAAACCACAAATGGAAAATTCTTTTTTTTCTTTTTTGAGATGGAATCTCATTATATCATTTCGGTAGAGTGCAGTGGTGTCATAGCTCACAGCAACCTCCAACTCTTGGGCTTAAGCAATTCTCTTGCCTCAGCCTCCCAAGTAGCAGGGACTAAGGCACCTGCCACAACGCCTGGCTATTTTTTGGTTACAGATGTCACTGCTGTTTGGCAGGCCCCGGCTGGATTTGAACCTGCCAGCTCTGGTGTATGTGGCTGGTGCCCTTAGCCACTGAGCTACAGGCGCCTAGCCCACAAATGGAAAATTCTACACCTGACCTCTAGTGATGGGTTGCAGACACACAACACACAGTTTATTCAGCAATCTCAAGGGAAAAAAGATCCTCCCAGACCCCTTCAGCTGAGATCTATCTTTTCTGTGCACACTCAGATTCTTATAGGCAAGCACATACAGTGTAACAAAATGGTTCAATGTATATAAACTTGTCTTATGCACAAAATTATTAAAACATTGTATGAAATTACCTATGTGTATATGGTATATATGAAACATAAATGAGTTCTATATTTAAACCTGGGGCCCATCCCCAAGATATCTGATTATATATATGCAAATATTCCAAAATCTGAAAAAATCTGAAATCCCAAACACTTCTAGTCCCAAGCATTTCGGAAAAGGTACACTCAACCTACATCACCCTATGAAAGTTGGAAATTCTTTCTTAGTCCTCATATAAAGTTACTTTATAAAACAAAGTCAGAAATGAATAGTTGGAAAACTGAATTCACAGAAGGGACAGTTCCAGGCCAAACATGTATTTGTTAATATTCCCTATAAGGCAGACTGAGCTTCAAAACAAAATTCCACATATAAAGACAAATTCAAAAGTAACTACTAAGTTATTGTGTTTTAAGCAAGGTACTAAAACCTTGCTTAAATAAAAACTACAGCAATTAAGCAATCAGCTTTAAGGAATGTTATTCCATCTAAAAATTTACGTGATTTCATTTTCCCAACTTATTTTATTTAGATTTAAAATACCATATTTTACATGAAAATTGAAAAAAATGTGAGGTTTACTTTAAGACATGCAAATAAATTACTATACTAAACAAATAAAAGGCAGCCCCATCTTACAAATGACAGAGGGCAGGATGTCTTACCCCTCCTGTAATCCTAGCACTGATAGGCCGAGGAGAATCACTTGAGCTCAGGAGTTCAAGACCAGCTTGAGCAAGAGCCAGACCCTGTCTCTGCTAAAAATAGAAAAATTAGCCAGGCATTGTGGTTGGCACCTGCAATCGTAGCTACTCAAGAGGCTGAGGCAGGAGGATCACTTGAGCTCAGGACTTTGAGGTTGCTGTGAGTTACAGTGATGATGCCAGGGCACTCTACACAGGGTGACAGAGTGAGATTCTGTCTCAAAAAAACAACCCCCTCCCCCAAAAAACAAATGATAGGTGGACAAATTTTATTTATTCATTTAGCAAAGACTAGCTATATGCAAACCTTTGAGTTAGACTATATACCTGAATGGAAAGTAATAATGGTAGTTAACTGCCGAGCTACCAACAAAAACTTAATTCATATAATTTGTATTATATTATTATCATGTTTATATGTATTATACAATTATAATATTGTCATATTAGTATAATATTGATAATACTGTAGTACTTGTTACTTTTGAACATAACATTTAATGAATACACTATGTATTTATAATTAGATTACATTATAATTATACTTCCTGTTACCTTTGAACGTGACATTTTAACGAACATATTATAACATATATAATTATATATACTATATTATATTATATGAACATATATGGAATATAATTACATTATATTATTATCAGATCACAGTACCTTTTACTTTTGAACTTCATAACATTTTTATAAACACTGAAACAGATACCAGTCAACATTTCTTAGATTTCTCACAGACAAGGTATGGCTAGAAGCTCACTGTGGACCCTAAGTGGAGAGCCTTGAGGACAGGTGCAATAACCAAGTGGCCTTCAACCTGGTGCCCTCTGAGACTCCAGCGTCTAGTCTTTAAGGTTCCAAGCATGACAAGCTCAAACTCCCCCCTGTGTTCAGGAGTGTGACAACAGGTCTACCGTCATAAATGCTAAGCTGCTGCAGGGGGCCTGTCTAGCAGCAACACCAGTGAAAAGCATGAACAATTGGTCACAACAGAAGACAACAATGCTGCTTTCAGTACCTGGAGAAGACAGGGATGCCAGCTGGTGTTTACACTGCGTCTTCTGAGAAGAAAGCACCGCACAGCCTACGTAGAGAGCTTGAGTCTGCAGTGCTGATTTTACACTATAGTTAAGTGGATTTGAAAGGCTAGAACCATAGGTCCATAAAACAGAAAAGAACTTGAATAACTCAAAAACATCTTCTAGATGCACCTAATAAAAAAAAA